TGTAAATGCAGCTAAACATGCTTTCTGAGGAGATAAACAGTGTTAACAAATGGGAGTCTATTTTGAGGGTTTGTGAGTTTGTGTTGGAAAGGAGGACTCATTCAAACCAGCAGGACATCCAGCTGGTGGAGTATGCTTTTGTCTTTGCTGAGCTTCATCATCATCATCATCAGATGTCAGCAGACGTCATCCTAATCTGTCTGTCCATTCTGCCCCCAGGGTAAATCTGTCAGTTTCTTTGGACTTCCTGGCACACAAATACGCACACACGTGTACACACACACACACACACACACACACACACACACACACACACACACACGCACACACACACACACACACACACACACACACACCGTACATTGGTGAATGAAATGCAGCAGCATGTTTGCTACTCCTCTTTCTTGTATGGCGTGTAACCATGGTAACCCTTGTTGGTGGTTCATTCATAGGTGCATGATGTCATTCGGTGCAGGAGAATGCAGATTTAAAGGCGAGGAGCGCAAATTGGGAAACTGATTTGGTATTTAGGGATGGATTTTATCTGAACAGTCAGTTTAGGAGAATAATGGAAACGTCTCTTAATAGAGGAGACGTGGGTCCCCCTTCCCATGGGCTCACCATCTGTGGGAGGAGCCAAAGGGGTCAGGTGCAATGTGGGATGGGTGGTGGCCGAGGGCGGGGACCCTGGCGGTCTGATCCTCGGCTACAGAAGCTGGCTATTGGGACGTGGAATGTCACCTCACTGGTGGGGAAAGAGCCTGAGCTGGTGTGTGCGGTTGAGAGGTTCCAGCTAGAAATAGTCGGACTCACCTCTACGAATGGCTCTGGCTCTGGAACCAGTTTCCTTGAGAGGGGTTGGACACTCTTCCACTCTGGAGTTGCCCCTGGTGAGAGGTGCCAAGCAGGAGTGGGCATACTTATTGCCCCCCATCTTGGTGCCTGTGTGTTGGGGTTCACCCCAGTGAATGAGAGGGTGGCCTCCCTCTGCCTACGTGTGGGGGGACGGGTTCTGACTGTCGTTTGTGCTTATGCACCAAACGGCAGTTCAGATTATCCACCCTTTTTGGAGTCTTTGGAGGAGGTGCTGGAAAGTGCACCTCCTGGGGACTCCCTTGTTTTGTTGGGGGACTTCAATGCTCACATGGGCAATGACAGTGAGACCTGGAGGGGTGTGGTTGGGAGGAACGGCCCCCCTGATCTGAACCCGAGTGGTGTTCTGTTGTTGGACTTCTGTGCTCATCATGGATTGTCCATAACGAACACCATGTTCAAGCATAAGGGTGTCCATATGTGCTCTTGGCACCAGGACACCCTAGGCTGCGGTTCGATGATCAACTTTGTCGTCGTCTCATCTGATCTGCGGCCACATGTCTTGGACACTCGGGTGAAGAGAGGGGCGGAGCTGTCCACTGATCACTGCCTGGTGGTGAGTTGGCTCCGATGGTGGAGGTGGATGCCGGTCAGACCTGGCAGGCCCAAACATATTGTGAGGGTTTGCTGGGAATGTCTGGCAGAGTCTCCTGTGAGATGGAGCTTTAACTCCCACCTCTGGGAGAACTTCGAACATGTTCCGGGGGAGGTGGGGGACATTGAGTCTGAGTGGGCCATGTTCCGTGCCTCTATTGTCGAGGCAGCTTACCGGAGCTGTGGCTGCAAGGTTGTTGGTGCCTGTCGTGGCGGCAACCCTTGAACCCGGTGGTGGACACCGGCTGTGAGGGATGCTGTCAGGCTGAAGGAGTCCTATTGGGCCTTTTTGGCCTGTGGGACCCTGGAAGCAGCTGATGGGTACAGGCAATCCAAGCGACATGCGGCTCGTGTGGTCCCTGAGGCAAAAACTCGGGCATGGGAGGAGTTCGGAGAGGCCATGGAGAATGACTTCCGCACAGCTTTGAGGCGATTCTGGTCTACTATCCGGCGTCTCAGGGGGGAAAGCGGTACACCACCAACACAGTTTATAGTGGGGGTGGTGTGCTGTTGACCTCAACTCGGGATGTCGTGGGTTGTAGGCAGAATACTTTGAAGACTTCCTCAATCCCACCGGCACGTCTTCCACTGAGGAAGCAGAGCCTGGGGACTCTGGGTCGGGCCCTCCAATCTCTGGTGCTGAGGTCACCGAGGTGGTTAAAAAGCTCCTCGGTGGCAGGACCCCAGGAGTGGATGAGATTCGCCCGGAGTTCCTTAAGGCTCTGGATGTTGTAGGGTTGTGTTGGCTTAGACGACTCTGCAATATTGCATAGACATCGGGGGAAGTTCCCCTAGATTGGCAGACCAGGGTGGTGGTCCAGTTCCCCTATTCAAAAAGGGAGACCGTAGAGTGTGTTCCAACTACAGGGGGATCATGCTCTTAAGCCTCCCGGGTAAGGTCTATTCTGGGTTTTTTGGAGAGGAGGGTCTGTCAGATAGTCGAACCTCAGATTCAGGAGGAACAGTGCGGTTTTCATCCTGGTCATGGAACACTGGACCAGCTCTACACTCTCAGCAGGGTCCTGGAGGGTGTGTGGGAGTTTGCCCAACCAGTCTACATGTACTTTGTGGACATGGAGAAGGCGTTTGACCGCATCCCTCGGGAAACCCTGTGGGTGGTCCTCTGGGTATATGGGGTACCGGACCCTTTGATACGGGCTGTTAGGTCCCTGTATGACCGATGTCAGAGCCTGGTCCGCATTGCCGGCAGTAAATCGGGCTTGTTCCCGGTGAGAGTTGGACTACGCCAAGGCTGCCCTTTGTCACTGATTCTGTTCATAACTTTTATGGACAGAATTTCTAGGCGCAGCCAAGGTGTTGAGGGGATCCGTTTTGGTGGCCTTAGAATTGCATCTCTGCTTTTTGCAGATGATATGGTCCTATTGGCTTCATCAGCTCGTGATCTACAGCTTTCGCTGGAGCAGTTCGCAGCCGAGTGCGACACGGCCGGGATGAAGATCAGTTCCTCCAAATCCAAGGCCATGGTCTTGAGCCGGAAAAGGGTAGAGTGCCCTCTCCGGGTCAGGAAGGAGGTCCTGCCCCAAGTGGAGGAGTTCAAGTATCTTGGGGTCTTGTTCACGAATGAGGAAAAAATTGAGCGTGAGATCGATAGGCGGATAGGTGCAATGTCTGCAGTGAAGCGGGCGTTGAACAGGTCTGTCGTGGTGAAGAGAGAGCTGAGTCAAAAGGCGAAGCTCTCAATTTACCTATCGATCTATGTTCCCACCCTCATCCATGGTCATGAGCTTTGGGTTGTGACCGAAAGAACGAGATCTCGGATACAAGCGGCCGAAATGAGTTTTCTCCGCAGGGTGTCTGGGCTCTCCCTTAGAGATTGGTTGAGAAGCTCTATCATTCGGGAGGCACTCAGAGTAGAGCCGCTGCTTCTCCACGTCAAGAGGAGCCAGTTGAGGTGGCTCGGGCATCTGGTTAGGATGCCTCCTGGACGCCTCCCTGGTGAGGTGTTCCGGACACGTCCCACTTGGAGGAGACCCAGAGGAAGACCCAGGACACGCTGGAGGGACTATGTTTCTCGGCTGGCCTGGGAACGCCTCAGGATTCCCCCGTAGAAGCTGGCCCAAGTGGCTGGGGAGAGGGAAGTCTCGGCCTCCCTACTTAAGCTGCTACCCCCGCGACCCGACCCCGGATAAGCGGAAGAAAATGGATGGATGGATCTCTTAATATGGATTTAAAGTAGTTTCTTCCTGTAAAAATCATTACATTTAATTTTACTTGAAATGCACCTGTTGATACTTTGATTACAGGCATTCCAGACTTTCTGTTTAATTTTTCTAGCGTTTAGAACTTCAACTAAGGTTTTTTGTTGTTGTTTGTTTTCTAATTCTATGACCTAAACCAAGGCTATTCAACTGGTAGCCCAGGGGCCAAATCAGGCCCAGGGGTGAGCTCAGTTCGGCCCACAAATGGGGTCATTCATAAATAAAACTAGATTTTAAATCATGAAACAAACTTACTTAATGACAATAACTGCTGGATGCCTGGCTCCTGAGCTCTTGGCTTTCAGTAACTGTGGCCCCCAGAGCATTTTAGTTGAATAGCCCTGACCTAAACGTTTCTGCCTCTTAACTGGTCACTCTCATAAATCTTATTTATGTCTGGAGGATGCCAACAAGGTACACATGCCTGAGACTTATTAATTATAACTCTTAAAATTGATTGTTCACTTTTGGGAAAGTGGGAATGTGGCAGTCATGAATTTATTAGATGGGTAATTAGTAGAGTTTGTACTAATATTGTTTTTTTGTTGTTGTTGTTTTTTTTTTAAAATCAGCTGCAGTTTTGTTTCACGTGTGTTCCCACATGTAGCTCTTTCAGTGTTTTGGGGGGAAAATTTCAGTGAAAGTGCTCAGTTATATAGCTTTTACTGTTTAAGATTGACCTTTAAAATGTTGTTTGAGCAAATTAATAACTCTGAAAAATAAAGGGTACTAAGCATAAAAAAGGGATGGGATGGCAAAAGACAAAACATTGTTTTATAAACCCTAGTACACAAAGTTGTAATTATTTGTATTGTTTAGATGATGCAGTCACCTGCTGCTGATTGCAGAGAACATGAGGAATAAGATTATGCTCTAACTTAGCAGATGTTAATTGTCATGGACGTAAACGAGTGGTGGGTGTAAATTAATTGTTCCATCCTGCTTAGTTTGCCACAGTGATAGTGGAAGTCATCAATCATAGCGACTGGGATGTCTCCAAAACAAAACGAATGAGGCATTCCATGAGTTTTCTCTCGACTTGGCAGCTGTTCCGATGAGCTCTGTGCTGAGTGCCAGACAAAAACTGTTTTAATTTCACTGAATATTCAACAGTTTATGTGACATTAGGCTTAATAAAGTGTTGATGTGACGTCTGTTACCGTTATAATCAAAACCTTTGTAAAATTTTCAATTGTATAACTTTCATTAGTAGTTCTGTCAGCAACTTATTACTATCTCAAAAATGTAATTCTTACGTAGGTGTGTTTGGACAAACTGCTAATTTCAACTTCTTTTTTTTTATGCTCTGTTTAGGATGGGTGCTTCAGACAACATCTACAAAGGGCGCAGCACGTTCATGGAAGAGCTGACGGAGGCCTCAGAGATAATTTTCCATGCGACAGAACGCTCACTGGTCATCCTAGATGAACTGGGACGAGGGACGAGCACCCACGATGGGATTGCCATCGCCTATGCCACGCTGGAGTACCTCATCAAAGACGTACGTTTAACTTCTGTGCGTTTGTGAACAGAAACCTTTATTGGAGCGTCTCATTTGAAATGTTTGCTTTTGGTTCGAGGTGTAGACGTCAGTGTGTGCATGTGTGTGTTTATGATTGTTTACAGTAAGATAAGCCACAAGAGGTGCTTCAGCAACAAAGTATCTCAGTAAGCAGAGGTACAGAGAAACTGGATCTATAATGTCATTTGAGAGCAAGATGTATAAAAGAAGAGAGAAAAGAGAAGAAACCTCCAGAGACTTGAGTATTAGACCACAGCAGCCCTCGTTTAAACACGATCAAGGCTAATGGCAGACTGCTCAGCGCTTGAATTATTCATCGCTTTACACTTGGTCTTATATTTGTCTTTACTTTACCCTAAATAATCCATAAAAGCAGCAAATAATTTTCTGGTCAGTTATAAACAAAAGAGAAAAAAGTTGATTGACTGCAAGCTGTTTGTCAATGAACTCGACACATCGACACATTCGTCTATGAGCTTACTGGAAATTGTGTTCAGACTTAATCATACTGGGTTTTTTTCCCCAACGCTGTTTCGTGCTCTGGTTCAAAATGCTGCAGCCCTATTTTTAACTAGTACAGGCAAAAGAGAGCACATTACTCCAGTTTTGGCCTCCCTTCACTTGCTCCCGGTTCACTTTTGAATTTATTTTAAAATCCTTCTGTATGTTTTTAAATTTCAGAACAGTTCTGCTCTCTTATCTCATTGATCTGCTGCAGCCATATGTCCCCCAGCGCTCTCTGAGGTTAGCAGACGCGATGCTTCTATTGGTTCCAGGCACTGGTTTTAAGCTCAGAGGTGACAGGGTCTTCTCTGTTGCAGGTCCAAAACTGTGGAATGAGTTACCACTGCATGTCAGGCAGGCTCCCTCTCCCACTGTTTTTTGTCTCGTTTAAAAGCACACTTTTATTCCCTGGCTTTTGACACTGTGTGAGCTGATTTAACTTGTCTGTATTCTATAATGTTAGCCATTTACTTCTTGTCTTTATCTATTTGGATCTATGAGTTTTATCCTGTGTCCTTTGCTTGTTTGTTTTTGCTGTACAGAAGTTTGCTTGGCCTTGTTGTTGTTTTAAGTGCTTTATAAATAAAGTGGTATAGTATGCTTCGTAATAAATTAAGATAAGATACTTTTATTATCCCAAAATAAATTGGAATTACAGTGGTTAGATTTCCTTAAAAATTTGTGTACAAAAAGGAGATAAATTCACTTTTAACCAAAGAGGAAAGAAGTAGCTGGGGATTAAAGGTTCACTGAAGATTTCATATGAATTTGGAGCTGTGTGGTGCTTTTGGCTTCAGCTTGAAGTACTGGTTCCTAGAATCTGTATGCTTATCAGAATCCACTGCCTTTGTTTGCAGTTAATGACCATCTTGTGAGATGTTGAACCTACATGGATTTACACAATCACTTTATAGCAATAGAACGTCCTCATGAAGAAAAATGAGGCTGCACACCGATGTGACTAAGAGAGCGGCTACGGTCAGAACCCCTCAGGGTGTTGTACAGTGTTATATGTACTGCAGAACAAAAGAGTACTACACTGAGAGAACAACAACGATGAGCGAGCTTTTATATCAAGACTGGCAGCTCAATCAGTGCATGCTTGTCCACATTTTTAACTATTTGTATTTACCTGTTTAGTGTTGAATAAATAGATCAATACCTTAAGCACAGAAAACTCATTACTGCCGTGTGACGTGCTTCAGGTTACGGCACCAATCAGGACACCCAGCTGTTCATTTTCTCAGCTGCCTGCAGTGTAACATTGAGGCAACGCAGAGGCATGAGGCTTTGCTTGTTTTAGCTCCTTGTAGCAGCATTTCTTTAATTTCAGCCTGAGTTCCAAAACTGTTTCCATTATTTGTCATCCCTACAACATGTGCAGAAATCAAAGTTTTACACTTTGGCTTTGCCCGTTTTCAAAGAAATGTGTACATTTTTATTGACATTATGTATTTTCAGATTATAAAATGCATTTATTCTATTATATTTTACAGAGACAAGTGTAACTGCTAAAAGGTTGATTTGTTTATCTCCACAGTTTTCCACAATGTGTTGAATTTGTGCTCATACTAACTGCTGTTACAACCAAGCCTTTTTTTTTTAAACTTAAATAAACGGAAGAAAAAAAAAATAGCAAGAAAATTTGTGTTTGGTCATACAGTAGTCCCTCGCTACTTCACACTTTGTTTATCACGGTCTCGCTCTATCGCTGTTTTTCAAAATAAGATTAGACATGACACACACTTGACTGATTAATGGATGAGCCGCACGACTGGCATGGAATTTTTATTTTAAATAAATTATTTTACATTAAATTATTTAGCACCTGCTGCACCTTTGTGCAGCCCACAGCTAAAGGAAAAACTTTCTGCTGCATGTGCCAGAATCTCTGCTCTGCCACAGAGAAGTGGGCGTGGCCAAGAGCAGCCAGAAAGAGGGAAATCATGACATTCTGTGCTCTTTTAGAGCTTTCCAGTTTAGAAAAATTGTTTAAAATATTGCAAGAGTGCGGGAAGGGTTTAAAATGTCTTCATATATATATATATATATATATATATATATATATAAAATAAATTACTACTTACTACTTGTACTACTATTCCTACTTCACGGTTTTCCGCTTATCACGGGGCTTCACGGTACAGATCCCCCACGATAAACGAGGGACTACTGTATTTTTCTTTGTTGTAACAATGCGTCTTGTCAGAAAGTTTTGCACCATTAAAAAGCTTCTTAATATTATTCAATTGGATTTTAAATTATGCTAAATGTGTTTGGAACGTGTGTGTGGGTTAAGCAGCAAAGTTGTGTGTGAGTTGCGCTCATGACAAACTTGCCAAACCTTCTCTGCCAATGCCAAACAGCTTATTCTGCTGTTGACTTGTTGTGAGCTTCTGGTACTCCAGGTGCTGACAATCAGGTGCCTGACTGTCGGCATTAAATTGCCAACATGTCTTGTTTCTTCCGACTTCAATCATCAAATCCAAAACAACACAGAACAAGAGTCAACAGCAGAATAAGCTGTTTGGCATTGTCAGAAAAGATTTGGCAAGTTTTTCATGTGTGCAGCCCACATACTCAACCCTGCTGCTCAATCCACAAATACATTTTCCCAACAAATGTGGCGCCATTTAGGGAAATAAAAATTTCCAATAGTGTAAGATTTGATGCCATGAAGCAGTGTTACAACTAAAAAATCTTAAGCAAAACATGCATTTTGTTACTTTTTTAGCCAAGTATGCATTCTTGACCAATGTGATCTTTGGTGAGACTTTTTGTTTTTTTTTAACTTTTATTTCTGTTTTGGTATCTGAAAAGATGCATACAAGCAATAAGCTGAGGTTGGTTTATAATATCAAACTGCTAATGCTGGCATTAGATCTTTACCAAATATTTAGAACAAAGATACACCATCCATCCAGAAAGGCAAATATTTTAGCATGAATACAACAGAAGCTCATTGAGTGTTTTTTTTTTTTTAACAGATGGTTTTTGAGTGTGGTATGTTGCAGTTTCTTTTGGGAGAGGATTTTTCAAATCAGATGGTCTTCACTGACCTTAGAGTGCAAGTCTTTAATCTCTTATTCAAAGCGTTCTGCTTTTCTCTGGAGGTATTGTGGTAAAGCACACCAACAGCTGTTTAGTTCACGTCAGGGCACCAAACAGTCTGCAGGATTTTAAATATTTTATTTATTTTTTTGTTTGCTTTCTTTATTATTAGGAATAAAAGTGCAGAGCCAGATTTGCTGTTTTCTTTTAAACTTTGCAACTACCCACTTTTTATCTGGTTGGAGAACTGAGCATCACATAGTTTTGCTTTTTGCGGTCAAACATCAATTTTTGATTTAGCCATCTACTGGTTTGCAGGCGTTCCAGATGTTGGAGCATTTGTTGAGTTAGCTAGTTCTGCAAAATGCTTTAATGTTTTTGCCCATTATTTGTTTCTGTACTTGGTTTTGTTAAACTTTTCAGAACATTCTCTAGTACGTCATTTTTGGGTTTGTTGGATTCAGGACTAAAGTGCGACCTGAGTTTATGTTAGATTTAGGGTAAGGGACAGAAATGAGTTGGTCAACACAATGTCTTAATAAGAATAGAAATATGAACGTGTTTTATGTGTGTATCTGTTTGTTTGTTTTGTAACTTTAGCAAAATATCCAACAATTTTCAGTCAGGTCATCTGGACAGTTTTTTCTTTTTTGTGCTGAAACATTTCACCTTCCATCCAGATGGCTTCATCAGTCAAGGAAACACACAACACAAAAGTGAGTCTTCCCAACAGCTTACTCCAAAGTGGAACAAACCGGTTATGTTGGTGCTAAGATGGTCTCTTTGGCACGCCCCCTCCTCTGGTGCCGGCCCTCTCCCTCGTCGACAATCATATCAAACTGGTTCAAAACCAACAAAGTCCATGCTCAATAATCCAAAATATCAAAAATATCTTATGAACTCTCGAAGTATCAGTAGATGTACAACTAATTACCTTTTAGAGTCAACCCAATTTAAGATAGCCACCAAAGCTAAGCAACCTTTGCAAACACAAGAATGGCTATAACTCGATAAATTTGACAAATTTTGAGTTGAATTTAGTTTGGTAGTAGATAAGAGCCATTCCCAACACCCACCCAGAGTGCTCACACATCTTGACATATCATACAAGATCACTCAAGGTTGGGCTAAAAGAACTATAACCATTGTTTGTCATCATGAGAGGATCGTGGTTTAAAACGGGCATGAAAGGCAGTGGGTAGTAGGTTAAAGGGCTTCAATTTAGCCACTGATGTCAATAGTTTGAACAGTGAAACTATAGTTTTTTCTTTTTTGGGGGCCGACAATAGTCTCTTTGTGATTTAAATGCAATTAACTACACTGGCCAAAAGCCCTATCCCGTTTAGACTGAAATAAATCCCAGCATGCATGAGTTCACAGTCACAGCTGTTGTTCATAAGTTTCTGGAATTTGTCTTTAGTTCT